ATTCCTCCAACCAACCCCCAAAAGAAATGGAATTCTGATAGATGTACAACATGAATGAAACTTGAAAACACTATTTTTTAATTTCCTGTGTAATTTCTTTAATTTATGTGCGATCTAGAAGCGTATTTCTTTATTTCTAAACATGTAAGAATTTGTTTCACTTACCTTTTTTATTATATTTTTAACTAATGTTTGATTGCACCATGGCCAGAAAATATGCTGTTTAACTCCCAATTCTGAAATTTATCGAAACTTGTTTTGTAGCACATGTGGACAAAAGATTGTCCACATCTTTTGTCCACATGTTGTGAATATTTTCTATGTTCTTTAAAATTCTCACTATTTTAGGATCTATCCATCTAACTTTATTAGATTAGGTTTGTTTAATTATCCTGCTCAAATCTTTACTATCATTGTCTATATTTCTTCCCACAAATTACAGAGAAGCTTACGAAAAGCATCTCCCACTATGTGAATTTGTTTGTCTTATGATTCTGTCATTTCTTACATATTAAGAAGCTATGTTCTATGTTGCACATAGATTTAAAATGATTAAATATTGCTGTGAATAGAACTTTCAAAGATCATTAAGTAGTAATGCCATCTTCAAGCATATGAATTATCTGCCTGTTGAAGTACTTTTTAATATGACTAAGATTTTTTAGCAGATAATTCTAACATCTCTATCATCTTGATTGATGTTGTCATCAATTTACTGTCTTTTTACATTCAGTTTGAGATCTTCCTAGATTTTCATATGAGCAATTTTCAATTTGTAACTTGGGGACATTTTTGTACTTTGTCACAATAAGACTTTAAATCTTATTTTTAAACTTACTCTAGAAAATACACAGAACAAAATTTACCATCTTATCCAATAGCTTTAAGCATATTCACTATGTTGTTGATCAACAACACTTTCTATTTTCAGAACTTTTTATCATCTATAAAGAAACTCTGTACCCACTAAATAATATCTACCCATTCCTCCTTCCTAGCATGTAGTAACCTCTATTCTACGTTCTTTCTCTATAAATTTGTCTTTTTTAAGTACCTTATATAAATGAATTATTATCTAATTTTTTGCACCTGGCTTAGTTCACTTAGCATAATGTTTCAAGATCCATTCATATTTACATGCCATAATAACATCTATCAGAACTTTATGGTTCCACAATACTGTGAAATTCGGGAAATTATGTAATCACTTAATCACAATCAAAAAAAAAAAAAAGAACCTCGGGGAAGGTAGGGAGGGAAGGAATGGTAGGGGGGAAAACAATGGAGGGGGTAACAATGCTCAATAGGAAGTGTACTCATTACCTTACTCATGTAACTGTAACCCTCTGTATAGTATCTTTACAATAAAAAAAATATATATACATCAAAAAAAAAGAACTTTATGGTTGAACACTATACCAATGTATAGATATAGTCCATGTTACTTATTCATCTACTGATAGGCCTTTGACTTTAAATAGCATATGAATGAGTCCTCCTTGTCATCATTGCTATCTTCTGAAAACAGTCATTAGTCATGGGCCAGGGGTACGGCTCCAGTGGTAGAGTATCTACCCTAAGTAAGCACAAAGCCACGAGTTCAAACTCTCATATTGCCACAGAAGAAAGAAAAAAATAGGATTATTTATTAAGAGCTTATATAACTTTTGTTATGTTTCAATTCCCCAAGCAATAAGCCATACACTAAATGATAAGAATATATAAAATAAGTATACTTTATGATATACCTATTTCTTCAAATCTCAATCTTGTTTATCTTTTTTTTTTTTTTTTTTTGGGTCCGGTCGTGGAGCCTGAACTCTGGGCCTGGGCGCGGTCCCTCAGCTCTTCAGCTCAAGTCTAGCGCTCTACCACTTGAGCCACAGTGCCATTTCCAGCTTTTTTTCTTTTTGTTTATGTGGTGCTGAGGAATCGAACCCAGGGTCTCATGCATGCAAGGCAAGCACTCTACCACTGAGCCACCATCCATCCCCATCAATCTTGTTTATCTTATCTTTTTATTAAACTAAGATTATTTGCTTTGAAGCTGACTTTTGTTCTACATTTCTCTGCTAAAATAAAAGTATAACACTATTATCTGTGAATTGGAAACTGTTACCTAAGTTGATACACAAGAACCTGCCCCTACAGAGAAACTTTATGCAAAGAGCCAGATAAGCTCCAGAGAAATCAGTTCTACTTTTCTTTTCATTGAGCTGAGGTTTCATCATATTTGAAAAATCTTTTGAATAAATAGGACATTTTAGATATTTTCTCATCTAATCTTCTATTTTAGTCCTGAGAATTTCAGTTCATATTCAATTTCTAATTATAAATTATTGATTTCTGGTTTTCTTTCCACTTGAAAAAAAATTAAGGTTGGGAGAGGAAGTGAAAATTAATAAATTCAATCTGGCCAGTTGAGGTACCTATTGATAGTGTTATCATATATTTAAGTAAGTGAATTACAAAAGCAAAAAACAATAAACAATAAACAACAAAAAAGAACATAGTCAAAAACTTCCTGAGTACCTCCTATTTCATTCTCCTTATTGTATTTTTTTTTCGGTTGTGGGACTTGAACTCTGGGTCTGGGCGCTGTCCCTCAGCTCTTCAGCTCAATGCAAGCACTCTACCACTTGAGCTACAGTGCCACTTCAGTTTTCTGGTGGTTTATTAGTGATAGGAGTCTCATGGTCTTTCCTGCCTGGGCTGGCTTTGAACCAGGATCCTCAGATCTCAGCCTCCTGAGTAGCTAGGATTACAGGCATGAGCCACTGGCGCCCGGCTATCCTTATGGTATTTTGTGTATTTTAAACTATATATATTATTTTAATCCCTATTTTTCTTAGTTCCTTCTTTATATTTTGTTATCTGCACATGCCATATAACTTTGGCTTCCTAGTGTACAGGAAATAATGCAAATCTACCTTCTCCCCCATATGTGAAACATAAATATAAAAGGAAAATATTACTAACAGCAGACAACTTTCAAGGTATTTTTCCTACGTCTATAAATACCTCAGGGAAATTAAAATCCTTAGGAAACTAAAATTGGTAAAGGAAACAGATGTTTGAATTATCCTAAGTAGAGCACAGGGAATAAAGGTGGCACCAACAGGAATCTCAACTAAGGTCAAAAAAGACTATGACTTTAGGATATTTGAAGATAAAATATTTCAATTCTGGGGCTGGGAAGGTGGCTCAGTGGTAGAGCGCTTGCCTTGCATGCATGAGGCCCTGGGTTCAATTCCTCAGCACCACATAAGCAAAAAGAAAAAAGCCGGAAGTGGCGCTGTGGCTCAAGTGGTAGAGCGCTAGCCTTGAGCTGAAGAGCTGAGAGACAGCGCCCAGGCCCAGAGTTCAGGCCCCATGACAGGACCCAAAAATAAATAAATAAATAATAAAATAAAATAAAAATATTTCAATTCTGGGCTGGGAAGGTAGCTCAGTGGTAGAGTGCTTGCCTTGCATGCATGAGGCCCTGGGCTCGATTTCTCAGCACCACATAAGCAGAAAACGCTGGAAGTGACACTGTGGCTCAAGTGGTAGAGCACTAGCCATGAGCTGAAGAACTGAGGGAGAGTGCCCAGGCCCAGAGTTCAGGCCCCACAACTGGCAAAAAAAAAAAAAAAAATTTCAATTCTCCCTTCCCAGTAAGAATTTTTAAGGTTTTAGTCTTCATTAAATATTACTTCACGGAGGCTGCAATGCTTGGTAAGAAATGCATGCATTATCCTGCCCATGTAATTGTAACCCCTCTGTACAGTATGTTCTCAAATAACATAAAATAAAATTAAAAAAAAATAAATATTACTTCACCCTTTCTTCATAGGTTGACATAAATCAAAAAATATTATTTCCTGAAATTATAGGGATTCTATTTTACAACATAATTGTGTGTCATTTTGGCACTATACTTTGCTTTTGGTTATACATATTTGTATATGTTTTATATCCTCAAAAGAAATAGTCTTTATTACTTGTAAATATGAATGACTCACATATGTACTCTCCATTATGACAAGTGTGGCACTTAGCACATAGTAGGTTTTCAATAAATACTGGTAGACAATAGAATTATTGAATAATCATGTAAAAATGACTTAAAATTAATAATAAAAAGGAGGTTATTTTATTCTTAATCATATTGTAATGTAGACTATTTTAAACTCTAAGCAGTGATGATACACACAAATATTTAAACTATTTATGTGCCTCAACTTGACATAATTTTATGATAACTTGATGGCAATCACATTTAAATATATTAGAATATTTTTATAATAATGCTATTCTAGAATAGCAACTTTAATAGCTGGGAAAACATGTTAATAATGGCCATTAGCCTGAAGGAAACAAGGAACATTAAACATTTTTTTTCAGAAACAAATGTATAAGTTTAAACATTCCAGTATAATATTTATGAGCAAACCTCAAATTAAAATTTATAAAATGCAAACTGTCAATGTTCCAGTTAGAGAATAATTTAGACTATATTTTGTAATTTTTCTCATGTACACATGGGTGAATACTGTACAAAAGAGATAATTATGTTCTCCTTATGTCTTTGACTATCACTTTCTAAATACAAAGATGAATTCTGCTTGGATACAAGACCAAATCAAGGGAGAACTCAGCTTATTTCCTTAGAAAAACAAAGTCAAAGCCCAACAAAATAAACACCAGAAAAACGGGTAATTGCAAGAGTTGGACTGGGCTCAACAGGAAAAGGATACATGAATGAAAAGGAGAAGGTGGTGAGAATGGAGCCGAGAATTCAAAGTATGGACTACAAAATTAAGAAAACTAAGAGAAAGGTTGAGTCAGGATGGGTAGTTAAGAATATTGAAAGGGGTGATATTGATCATGATGCATTGAATTTATAAACTGCTTTGTTAAATGACAACTCTCTAAACAACTTCTTCAAAATAATAAACAATAATAAAGCCTAGATTACTGATCAATGTCTCAGGCTGTAAGTAAATGATTTTTCTTACCTTCAGGACAGCTATAAATGGCACAAAGTTAGCCCTTTGAAGTCCATTTTTATAGAGATCTGAAAAAAATAAATGACATTTTATTTAAATTTATTTAAAATTTATTTAAATTTGCTTTAATCATAACATTAGTTTATCTTTAAAGCAGGTAAATAAAACTTTCTACTGATTTTTTAATACAGAAGCAAAAAAAAAAAAAAATGACCCAACATTGATTTGTATTCAGAGACTATACAAAATTCACTATAATAAGAGAAAAAATAGCAGTCACAGAAAACAAATCAAAAAGCCTTCAATCAAATTGGCTTTAAAAAATAAAGAATGTGGAAGACCAGTTGCCGGTGGCTCACACCTATAATCCTAGCTACTCAGGAGACTGAGATCTGAGGATCAAGGTTCAAAGCCAGGCCCAGGCAGGAAAGTTATCTCCAATTAACCACCAGACAACTGGAAGTAGAGCTGTGGCTCAAGTGGCAGAGCCCTTGCCTTGAGCTAAAGAACTTAGGGTCAGTGCCTAGGCCCAGAGTTCAAGCCCCATGACCAACAACAACAACAAAAAGAATGTGGAAGATTTCCCTTCCAAAATCCTAAATCAATAATTCAACGTCAGATGACATGTTTAAATACACTTAATACTTGAATACATAGGGTTCTATTGTGAAATAAATTACAGTAAAAAATTAAAAGTTTTATATATATATATATTTTTTTTGATTAACCTTTTAGAAAACACATCAATAATCAGAATTGCTTCTGTATTTGTATAAGGTAAAAAAAAATTCCACTTTAAATGAAATTGTCCAAAAACTAAAACCATATTTTAATAAGATGCAAAAATAAATATAAAGAAAACTATTTTTCCTTAGAAAGATGTTTACTTATATGTGTGTGTATGTCATCATGAATATGTTTACATATACATCCAGATATATAAATAAATTCCTTATTTTTCAGGACAAACAAATGAAGATGCAACAAGTTTTAAGTTTTTGCATATTTTTCTTCAACAAAGGATACTTCTAGCCAGGCACAGTGATGCACACTTTAATCCTACCTCTCATGAGACTGAGGCAAGACAATCATGAGTTTAATGTTAGCCTAAGCTACAGAGTAAAAGCCTTATCTCAAGAAAGGGGATAAGAAGGGCTGGGAAGGTAGCTCAGTGGTAGAGTGCTTGCCTCTCATGCATGAGGCCCAAGGTTTGATTCCTCAGCACCACATAAACAGAAAAGGCTGGAAGTGACACTGTGGCTCAAGTGGTAGAGTGCTATCCTTGATCTGAAGAGGCTCAGGGACAGTGCCCAGGCCTAGAGTTCAAGCTCCATAACTGACAAAAAAAAAAAAGGGGAGAGGGGGAATAAGAGACTACTTCAATTTTTTTTTCAAGAGTTCAAAATCTTATTCCATTGAAAAAATCCTTTTTAAACAACCATTCTATAAAGATATTAGACTTTTTAATTATAAAAATAAGAATAGTCAAAAAGTTCACTCAAACGTAATATAAATTAGGTTAAATTATATCTCAATTTTTTAAGTATAGCATTATGGGATATTTTCCATATTTTCTTGTTTAGAGAAAATTTGATAACGATGATAGATTTTAACTGTCACATTTACTTATAGAAATAAAATATGGTCATTCAGAAACATTTATTCTCTTTAGAAAAATACTCATCATATTATCATTATAGTGAAGAAAGTATTTGCATAAACTATTTGATTAATTAAGGAGTAGAGGCTTCAAATCAGTTACATTTAACATTTTTATTTAGGGATATCATAAAAGGTAAGATAATGCTGGTAGGCCACTAGGATTTCAAAATTCAAAATGAGATCTTTTCTTTCCTATAATCGTACCTCTAAGAAACAAAATGGGCAAAATGCAAGAAATGGCTTATGGTTAGTTAAGTATTTTCATAGTTAAGTATTTTCAAAAGCTTTGAGAGAAGTACATAAAAGCACTACTGGGTAATAGTGGTTGACAGCCATAGTTAACAGAAAACAATGAAAACTGAAAATAAGCCCATTTTTAAAATATATACTCAATGTTTATAGCAGCGTTACATATAATAGCTAGAAACTTCAGCAATCCAAATGACTATCATTAGGTGCATGGAAAAACAAACAGTGGGATAACTGTACAATGAAATACTATGCAGCAATAAAAAGAAAAATCATGATGACTTTCAAAATAATTAGGTAGAATTCAGAAAGCCAGACAATAAAAATGAATGTATACTATATGGTTCCTTTATATGAAACTCTAGAAAAAGCAAAGAGTTTGATAATAACAAAAATTAAAATAAATAAAAATAAATAACAAAACAGGACAAGGTGACAGTGAGAGATGAAAAAAAAGGGCCTGAGAAAATTTGGGGAGGTGTTTGTAATATTAAATACATGATTAGCATTATATTTTTATAGATATATAGACATGTCAATATTTTTAATTGGATCCTATAAACATATAACATTTATTGTGAATCAATTAAAAATTTATCAAAAGCCAGGCACGAGGCTGAGATCTGAGGATCGAGGTTCAAGGCCAGCATGGGCAGCAAAGTCCATGAGACTCTTATCTCCAATGAACCACCAGAAAACCAGAAGTGGCACTGTGGCTCAAGCGGCAGAGCACTTGCCTTGAGCTGAAGAGCTCTGGAACAGCTCCCAGGCCCAGAGTTCAAGCCCCTTGACCAACAAAAAAAAAAAAAAAAAAAAAATTCAGAAACATGCATTACTACTTATCTAAAAGTATACTATTACAGAACTCAAAATAGGAAGTTTGTGTTAAGGTAAACTTGTTTTAGCTTATAGAATAGCATCTTATGACTTATAAGACTGTGATAAAAGCTTAACAAGTGTATATCTTTTAGAAATGTTAATGACAAAGATGTAAAGATCCACTTGTAATATTCTTGATTAAAAGATTTCCACTCATCAGCAAAGTTAAAGCTGAATAATAATAGCCATTAACTCTTAAGAGACCTAATTTTCAAAGAGTTAGTTTTTTAAAATTCAGACTTCGTAAAGACACATTAATTCAAAACTTTATACAATGAAAAGTATTTTCTAAATAGAATTCTAAACAGAAATAATTTGGCTTGAAAACCTTTAGGTTTTTTTAGGACACTTAAGTGAGAAATGACTGTATTCATTAAATTGAAGAGTTTTTCTGCAATTCAAATATTATGCTAATTATTAATGCAACAGATCCATCTTCTGAAATGTTATTTCACTAGCAAGTATTAGTTGTTTAATATTATTTTTCTCAGACATAAAGATTTTATAATACATTTATATCAACATTTGTCATTATTTACTAAACAATATTTAAAAATTTAGGAGCTCTTGCTTTTGATTTTTTAATGATCTTTGAACACAACTAAATGAACACTTGGTCATATAAAATAGAGTACCAGAATTATGGGACATTCATTTTGCAGAGAATGGTATAAGGACTCTAAATTCTCCACAATGAATAACTATAATAATACTTACAAATGAAACACATACAAAGAGGATTTTTAAAGTAATTACAAGCACATAAATACTTCGGAAATGCACATAGATATGCAGATCTTTCTCCTAAACAGCCAAATATGAAAAACAAGAGTTGGATGAAAAATGCTTATTTATATATGTACAAATCAGTTTAAAGTAAGAAAAACATTTAAAACATGTAATTAAGATACATTGTTGGCCAAACAAGGTGATTCATGCCTGTGATAATAGCTACTCAAGAGGCTGAGATATGAGGATCAAGGTTCAAAGCCAGCCTTGGCAGGAAAGCCAAGACTCTTATCTCTAATTAACCACCAAAAAGCGGAAAGTAGAACTATAGCTGAAGTGGTACAGTACTAGTCTTGAGTAAAAAGTTCAAGGTCAGTGCCTGCGCCCTGATTTCAAGTCACAGAACCATCACATACACAAAAAAGGTTTTGCATAAATTGACATATTTACATGGTTCTATGGAGTCAATCTAATTTATCCTTCCTAGATATTTTTGTGTTATTATAGACTAGAATGGTACGTTAGGCCATTTAAGCAAAAATAGCCAGCTTCCTCTTAAAAAACTAAAATTCCAGCTAGATGCTAGTGGCTCATACCTATTCTCCTAGCTACTTAGGAGGCTGAGCCCAGATGAATCACTCAAGGCCAACCCAGACAGTGAGACCCAATCTCAAACAATAAATTGGGCATGGTAGTGTCATATCTGCGATCCTAGCTATATAGGAGGCTCACAGGTGTCAGGCAAAACTGTTCCAAGAACCTATTTGAAAAATAATCAAAGGAGAAAGGACTAAGAGCACATTTCGGGTGGTAGAGTGCCTACCTACTTCATCAAGCATACAATCTTGCATTCAAATCTCAGTGCCACAATATAATATATATACACACATACATATATATGTCCATGTATGTGAATTTACATATAAAAGTTCCAAGAATATTTTTACTGAATCTGTAGATTACATATCTAATTAAGTATTCCTATTTGGTAGAATATTGTAGTTTTACAATCAATTCAATACACAATTATGAACTCATACTATATTCCTGCACTGAAATAAAGGTTGAAGACAGAAAATAAATAGAAGGAGGAGCTAAGTTTTACAGAACACCTACTAGAAGCCAGACCATTTGCTAGGCACTTCTCCAATTTATAAATATATACTGGGGGGGGTGGGGAGATGGAAAGGGATGGGAAGGGGAAACAAAGGAGGAGGCAACAGTGCTAGATAAGAAATGTACTCATAGCCAGGCGCTGGTGGCTCACGCCTGTAATCCTAGCTACTCAGGAGGCTGAGATCTGAGGATCACGGTTCAAAGCCAGCCCGGGCAGGAAAGACCGTGAGACTCCTATCTCCAATAAACCACCAGAAAACCGGAAGTGGCGCTGTAGCTCAAATGGTAGAGCGCTCGCCTTGAGCTGAAGAGCTGAGGGACAGCGCCCAGGCCCGGAGTTCAAGCCCCACGACCGACAAAAAAAAAAAAAAAAAAAAGAAATGTACTCATTATCTTGCCCATGTAATTGTAACCCCTCTGTACAGTATTTTCA